GGGTGAATGGCAGAAACAACTTATTGCCAAAAAAGGAGGTAGAAAAGAATTCCAGCAAGGGCTTAATAAGATACAAATGTTTAAACACGTGAGGTCAAGAATGGTGCAAAAAATCTCTCAGAGGAGGCGTTGCCCTAATTAAACATATGCCTTGTTGCTTGCATAAGTAAACAACAATCAGCCCCTCGAGATGTAGATAACAACCTGAAATGATTCGTGGTAGCCCAAGTAAGCAGCTTGCATAATTGCCGAGGCATTTTGCAACCTACCCAGAACTTAGAATGGTAGTAATGCCTATTGCACACAAATGAGAAATTTTAATGTTTTACCGCATTAGTGCAAATCACCAAGCAATAAAAAAACAAAAGCAGTGCCAAACTAGTTTAAAAAAAAAATGTGGAAAATGCGGAGGGAACAACAAGCATTCAAGAAATTGATTCTATTGATGACAAGGAAATATCATCATTCCATCTATATTGCATACGATAATTTATCAACTAAACAAGCTCATTTTAATGGCAAATATTGTTTCCAATCATGCAAATAACCTTGTCACCAACCAGAGTAAAAGAAAATGTAGCCAAGGGAACGAGTAAAGCTCTACCAAGCTATATGTACCAGAACTCTGATCAACAGAGGAAAATGGCGATACAGAAGATAGCAGAAACCGAGAATCCTTCACAGTAGGCCAATGAACAACCAGGCTCCGCCTGCCAAATGCATCTCGACCAAACCACAAGGTTCTTGAACTCTCCTGTACACAAGTAATTAAAGCTAACTTCAGCTCAAACAATATTAACAAAAAAAAAAATCTAAGAAATACCAGTACCTCCTTTAATCTCGATCAAAACAAAGCCAAGCCTATACCCATAATTACCTGCCAATAGATAATAGCCCACGGCCCCTTGATAGTTGAAAAAACATTCGGAACAGAACTACACCCATGTCCAGCAGCAGAGCAAGGGCCTGTGTGCCCACTGGAACCACAAGAGCAGCAATTTCCTAGAGTTTGCATTAGAACTTCACCATCATTTCTATCACTCTCCACATGAATTCCTCCAAATATTTCACCTTCAAAATTACAACACTAAATTAGACACGAGGTTAAAACCATTACGAGACAAAACGTACATAACAGAAATCGAGAAAAAATATAGTATACAAGTCAGAAAGTTTACCGTTATAAATTAGTACATTCCCGTAGCAGTCAACAAATGGCTGAATTATAGGATTCAGTCCCCTCAGCTGCAATGTGGCACCGATAAATTGCAGTTCGCCAACAGAATACCCTAGATGATTATAATTACCAGCTTTTCCGTTGGAGCAATTCTGCAAAAACGACTGGTCGTTTTCTATTTCAGCGTCGTCGGTTACTACAGACACCAATCCTCGGTCCTCAACAGAGCTCAAATTTTTATTATACTGAAGTATAATCTTCTTGCTTCCTAAGCTGTCAGGTCCTCGCCTCCGCAGAGCTGCTTTAAGATCATCTACGGAAACTGTAACCAACTGGTGCACCAAAAAAAAAAGGTAAATTAAATAGATAAAATTAATTGTGTGTATTGTGGATTAAACAGATTTATGAGAACTTTACTTACTGGCTCGGGATTAAGAGATTGGAGAAGGGTGGATGATGATACATCGATGCGAATCCCAGAGACAATCAGGGCGATTCCACACATCTCTCTCTTTCGCTGCTTTGCTCTTGCTGTGGCCTGAAGTGGTGTTCTTCGGAAGACATAGAGTTTTGGAGGGTTTTAAGATATCGTAGTTTTCTTGTAAATTTTTTAAGTGCGATCGAGTTTAAAAGTTCGGTTTTTGAGCACCGAAGGCTTCCATAGCATAGTGGTAGTGCGTTCGCTTCGTAAGCGAAAGGACGCGAGTTCGATCCTCGCTGGGAGCTCTCATATTTATTTATTTTTCATTTTTCGTATCAATCTCGGATGATAATATCCTTCCGATTTTGATATTTTTATTTCGATTTTTTTAGGATTGTGGTTAACTTTTAAAAAAAATATTTAACGGGAAAATTATTTTTATTTTTTATTTTTACTTATTTTGGCTCCATTGAAATTACAAACATTTGTAAAACATGTAATGATTTTTTTTATACATGTGTGTTTTTTTGTTATGGTAATAGGTTAGTTTTCTAGCTCATGTTATCTTCCATGTTGGAATTTGTTTTAAAAAAGAATGTCAGGGCCATGGAAAATTGTTTAGTATTATTATTGAATTTGATTTGTTATTATTATTAAATTTAATTTAAAGAGAGGACCTTAAAAAAATCCAACTTAACTTCTTATATATCAGAGGTTTTAAATTAAATTATACATAGCAAAAATATATATAAATAATTATTAAAAAAATATTTTTTGATTTTAAAAAAATCAATATGATATTTTTTTTAATATTAAAAATACAACATGGTAGATTAACATGGACTTTAAAGCTAAACTTGCAACCTAGATCATAAATTTTATTAACTATTTTCTACATGCTCATATAATAACAAAAGCATGTGCTTGCAAAAGTGAATAATGGCAAAAAAATTGAAATATTTATTTGAAACAGCAATGAATCATGAAAAGTAAATCAAAATAGATTATAAAAATTAATTCAAGATCAACTAAAAATTGAATAATAAAATCAGAAAAAAAAAATGATTAAATTAAAAAAAAAAGATATTTTTTTTTGTTTTTTAAAAAAACTATATTGTATTATTATTAAATTTGACCCAATAGTTAACTTTAAAAATCATTGTCTACTTGCTTATCATGGATTTCAAATTAATATATATGAAGTTAACTTTACTTGACTTTGTTAACCTAACAAGTAAAAAGATAACCCTGACGATTGCTAAAAATTATTAGTTGACTTATAAAAAAAATTATTGTGATATTCTTTTCAATACCGAGAAGGTGATATATATTATATCGATCTAATTTTTATGGTTTAATATGTCAAACTTACTTATCAGATTATAAATTTCATTAGATTTAATAACTTTGTTTTTTAAATTGTTTTTTACATGAGATGCTTGCAAAATTAACTACTGATTAAACACCAACTCATTAATTTATTTTCACCTATCTCAATGACATATGAAACTGGAATAATTTCATGAAACATAGATTAAAATGAACCATAAAAACCAGTTCAAAATCAATTAAATTTTGTATAATAAAACTTGCGTAAAAAAGTTAAAATCAAAATTAAAAAGAAAAAAAACATATAGCACCGTTATTAAACACAGACTTAGATGGTCAATCTTAAAATCTCTCAACCCGGCTCCCTAATTCGCCTGTGATTAAAACTAACATGAATAGAAGTTGACTTTACACGAACCGATTGACTTAATGAGTCCCAAGATAACTTAGACAATTAATTAAAATGTGGTTTGACTTTGATGTTTTTAATATTAAGAATTGATTTGAATTTCATGATTTAAATCATGAAATTTATGATTTAAATCATGAATTTTATTTGGTTTAAATATTTTTTAAAATATTTTTTTATACAATTATATAATTAAAAAAATAGATGTTTTTGAAGACCAAACACCAACATATTATCTAAGATCGTGATAATTATATAAAAAAATAATTTAAAATTAACATGGTGTCAATGAATGAATTCAAGCAAAAAAAAATTTAGGTTGAATTTTCTTTAAAAATAAAAAATATTTTGTTTTTTTTTTAAAAAAAATGAATCACCATAAACTTTATCAACACAATCAACAACAAAACACTATCAACTTTATCAACTCTTCCAGAGCGTAGAATTTTATTTTTAAAAACCGAGGCGCTTCAATGTTCCGAAAGCACCATAAACCCTGTCAACTTTATTACTAGTACCATAGAAGTCATCCAAAACTCCTCGTTAACCAGTATTTTTTATTTAAAAATATATGAAAATAATATTTTTAAAAAAATCTAAAAATAAAAGAAATAACTTGAATTTCATCCTTCGTCTGGTATATAAATTCCATTTTTCATTATATGTAAAGATATATTATTTACAATGCGCCCATTTAAAGAAGCAAATTGAACAACGGTTAATTATTTGGTCCAATCAAGTCAGTTTTACGAACACAGAGACAATTACACAGGCAGAATGCTAAATTAAATAATCAATAGTTTTGAATTGCAAGTGTATGTTATTTTTCCGAGCGGAAATTTTAAGTGCACGTACAAATATAATCACTGTCATCTAAGAACTGTGACTGTATTTCTTTAAATTTTAATTTTTTTAATATAATGATACTAAAAATATATTTTTTAATATATTTATAAGTAAAACATATATTTTAAAAGACAATAACTACATCGTACAAAACACCTTCGTAATATTTGATGTGGCCGTCTTTCTCAAAAAAGACATGTCGCCGTCATCCTAGAATGAATCACCAAGTAGCACAGTGGTCTATGCATTCCCTTCTGGTGTGACGTGGCGAGTTTCAATAGGTATTCAGAGTTCCATCGCAGACATAACTGACAGCACAACGGTTGGTGACAGCTTCGGGTGGTTTGAAAGTTAGCTGGCTTTTTTTTTTAATTTTTTTTTTTGAAATATATAAAAAATAATATTTTTTATTTTTTAAAATTTTATTGTTAATTTTAGTACATCAAAATAACAATAAAAATTAAATTTTAACCTCCCTCTGTTCTGGCAAACGGGTGCTCAGTTACGGCTAGGGAAATGCTGGATGTCAGCTTTTCACCGCAATCTAGATTGTTTTTTTACTTATTTATTCACTTCCCGGGAAAAAAATAAAATAAAAAATAACAATCAATCTCTAACCGCAAGTGTAAACCACACTCCGAACTTCCACGCAATCTCACTCTTAGAATATCCGCCGAATAAAATCATCACCGGCAAATTACGCTATCCAGCGCATTAAAACACCCCGTACCCCACAAAACAGCCTCACGTGACACCCTCTTTTATCGACCCGCTTCAAAAATACTTGCAAGACACAAGAGTGACAGTACACCGTCATTGCTGATAGTTAACACGCACGCGCGCGCGCGCACACACACACACACAAGTTCGTTCGCAGGAGAAAAGAGAAGGAAGAGAAATTGAGAATTACAAGTCGAGGGAGAAATCTAAGTACGGTTCTGCACTTTTCTTTATTAATCAAAATTTTCTCTTATTCGTTGTGGTATAAAAATCTTCGGCCGCACCTTCCTTCACTAGCAATCGCGCCATTGCGTCTTTTTTGTCCTTCTCCCTGTACTGGTAATAATAAGTATTTAGCGCCGCAAGGGCACGGTTAGTGTAGTAGTAAATTCATTCAATATCCCTTTCGACGGCGAGCGAGCGAGCGAGTTTATTGCTACTTAACGAGGTTCGACATTACTTAATCTTGCTTTTGTTTGATTGTTGTGATGTTTTTTTGGTTCATGGAGTATCTGCTATTGATTGATTGATTGATTGAATCCGAAGGATTGTTAAATTAAGGGAGTGCATTGTTAAATTGGTTTTAGATCTGAGTTTTGTTTTATTTTAATTTAGATCTGGGATTTTTTTATGCGAGTGGTTAGAGTTTGAGGTGATCCACTGTTTTTATTTTTTTGTATGTTATTTTTAGTTTTTTCTGTTTTTCTGGTTGCCGGATTGGATTTAGCTGTAAAGTTTGATTCTTTTGTGTTTTTTCGGTCACTGATAACGTTTTTGTTTTTGCCTAACGTAAGTAGTAAAATCTTAGCTTTGTTTGTGAAGAAGTTAGTATTGGTTTTTATTGGAAGATGCAGAAACATTGCGTGTTTTTTTATTGGTGTTACCGCATACGCTACTGTTGCTGTTATCATGTTTCTTCTGTCTTGTTTTCGACCCAATTTTTTAATAAACTGGTTTTTCTGCTTTCAACCCCTATACTCTTAAAGCATATGGTTTACGGTTAGATATCAAGATAATGAAATTGGTTCACCATTAGTTATGGGGTTTGATACTCTTATGCAGCCTCATCTGTTTTTTTAGATTATCTGTTATTTGCTAGTTGATGATGCTCATGCTCATGCTTTAGAATCCAGCATGTTAGGAAACCTGGGTTTTTGAGCGTTTTAGATTATGGAGGATCACACGTTCATGCCAATTTTCTATTCACTAGAACCGAGGGCCCAGAGTGTTAGCACAGAGGTCTGGATTCTGCAAAACAGTTTTTTATTTTTTTTGGGTTTTAGGGACCCTCCGATGATTAAGTCAATGATTTTATAGTGAGGAGTTGTAATAAATGAGCATTAATTTCTAAGAACAAGAATATTTATTTTTTGATCATGTATGATAAATGCTAAGAATATATGGTAAGAGAATGAAGATTTTGAACCCTTTACATGGGTTGTTCAGCGAATATTTATTTTTTGATCATGTATTGAACTTTCTTCTTTTTGTTTGAGGGGTCGGCAACCTTTTTTCTTTTCACATTTAAGTTGGGATGAAGTCTTTTTCATTAATATTAATGTTGATGTAAGTGTCTTCATAAACGGCTCTAATGTTGATGGAAATTCGACGTGCCTGTAGAAGGTGATCTTAAGCCATTTTGTACATAACATTAATGTCGATGGGATCAACCTTTATAATCAATATTAATATTGATTGGCATGTATCCAGCTCTTATAGGATTTTTACATAGCTAGTGAGTAGAGAGATGATGTCTCTAGATTTCCATTTCATATTTTTGGATCTAGAGCGATCCTAGACCCAAGGATGTCAAGTCTAGTGTTCTTCTAGGTCTAGAGGCACCTGAGCGAAGCATGTAGCTGAGCTCAAGGAAGTTAGGTTTGGCATCTTGCTAGACCCACGTGAGCTTGGACCTGACACGTAGTCGAGCCCATAAGAGTTGAGTTTGTCATCTTGCGAGACCCATGTGTGCTTGGGTCTAACACGTAGTCGAGCCCACGAAAAATGGATCTAGCAAAGGGAGATGATGTCCCTAGATTCTCATTTCGTATGCTTGGATCTAAAGCAATCCTAGACCCAATAATGTTGGGTCTAGCATCCTTCTAGTCCAGAGACACCTGGGTTGAGTGTGTTGCCGAGCTGAAGAAAGTTGGGTTTGACATCTTTTCGGACCCACATATATTTAGGCCTAACGTGTGTGGTTGAGCCCAAGAGAGTTGAGCCTGATATTTTGCCAGATTCTATCTCAATAGGTTTTGATGTTTGTTGAGCTTTTATAATGGGTCATTCTTCTCTTGGCCTCTCTATCTGGACCTTTTGAGTAAATGGATTTTAGCATAAAACATGTTCATCCAAATTCCATCCATTAAGAAGTCAAAGCCACTATGTTCGTGCTATCTTCTTTTTTCTTTTTAAATGGTGACCTTATGTCTGATTTCAAGTATCATGCTTAATATTCTTTGAAGTTCAGTTTCCTTTTTGTTAATTGCTTTACTTATCACTCTCTGTTTATTTATCTCTTTATATAAATATAGTCTGGCTTCAATATAAAACCCTCATTAGTGGATAATTTATCTTTATTCCTACAGTGAATAACATATCTCTATTCCTACAGAGATGGCAACGCTGGTGGATGAATCTACCGTCAAACTTGATCCAAAAGTGGTGGGGAATGCTTTTGCAGAGCATTACTACAACACCTTGTCCAAGTCTCCTGAGCTGCTCCATAACTTTTACAATGATGCGAGCTTGCTTGGCAGGCCAGGCTCAGATGGATCAGTGTCTCCTATTTCAACTTTAGAAGTAAGTTTTGTGTAACAGAAGTTTATTGTTTACGAGTGTAGATTGTTTATTATTGTGTTAAATAACTCCACAGCAAGAAATAACAGCATTATTCTTGTAAACTGAGTCACCCTAATGCTAGTCTTTTCACATTGATTTTATTCCACTAGCTTATCCCTTAGTTCATATTTTGTTTGGTTGGAAATGAGTGCTGTGTGAGAATGCGATCTTGATTCCCATTCCCGATAAGATTCCCATTTAATTTTTTTCAGTAGTCTTAAACTCCATTGTCATGGGGGCTCGATACTATCTATGAATTGAAATTTAACTTGCTTAGAGTACAAGTACTCCCATTTCTTTGTGAATCAAATGGCATTACATGAAGAGAGGAATTGAAATCTCTTTTCATCCCCGATCCTATACAATCCAAATATGGCATATAAATTAATTCATGCAGTACTGATGCTATGAGAAAAGGTTGGTTCTACCAGTTTCTGCCATTATTTTTTCCTCCAAAAACAAATTTAGAACTAGAATTGTCATGCACTTCATCACTAAAATCTTGATTTATTTGGGACTTTGGTTTCGAGTTCATGAACCTTGGATGCTGAAGTTTTCCTGCTTACACCAATGTTTATCTTTGACTTTTTTGGGTGCAGGAGATTAAAAAATTGATCCTCTCTCTTGACTATAAGAATTGTTTAGTCGAGATACAGACTATTGATTCTCAGGAATCTTATGAGAATGGGGTAATGGTGTTGGTTACTGGTTTCTTTGCTGGAAAGGACAGTACCAGACAAAAATTTACACAAGCATTTTTCTTGGTCCCGCAAGATGATGGAAGGAGATATTATGTTTTGAATGATATTTTTAGATACATGGAAGAATCAGAGAATAAGAAAATTAGTGATGAAGACAACATTGCTCCAGCTACACCTGTTATCCCATGTCCTGGTAGGGGTTCATGTATGGTTTCGTTGTTTCTTTTGTTACTTTAATGCATAAATATTTACTAGTAGTATTGTAATTACAGAGCCAACCTCCATTCCTAATCGCTCTGTCTCTGCCGATTTGTCTACCACTTTGGAGGAGGGTGATGATCAAGCTAAAGAATCCGGTCATCCTTTGGACAATGGAGAGATTCCCACTTGTGAGAAAGAGGTGGTTGTCGAGAAAGTTGTTACCACTCAGGATGATGCTCACCCAGTTTCTGAGGCAGTTGCTTCTGGTGTCCAGGAGGAGGATGCCCCCAAGAAGTCCTATGCATCAGTGGTGAGTATATTTACATTTGTTTACAGGACAATCGTTATTCAAATGATCGAGTTTTTTTTTTATTGGTTTTTTTCAGGCAAATGCATTGAATTTCAAAACACAACCATTTCAACAGAGGGTTTCTCCCGTGAAACCTGTGAAACAGTCACATACAGCTGTACCATCTGTGGTCTCTTCTCAACAAACAGGTTATCGCCCTCCCAGCAACAATTCTGTGGAAATCAATAACAACAGTGCTGCAGGTTTTTATCCTTTTTAAAGTGTATATATGGGTTTTTACCTGGAGTGAGCTTTGTAGCTTTTCTTTCACCACCTATCCGCTTTTCTCATTTTTCCTGTTTCAGTTGAGGGTTACTCCATATTTGTTGCAAATTTGCCTCTGGATGCTACTGTTGACCAGCTTGTGCAGACTTTTACAAGATTTGGGGCTATTAAACCTAGTGGTGTGCAAGTCAGAAGTTATAAGGTTAGTCTCGTGTTTATTCTTGTAAAATTGGTGTTGAAAATTGTTTTTTGAAACTATATTTATTTGTTTATGTTGCTCATTTATATACAGCAAGATAAGAACTGTTTTGGTTTTGTGGAATTTGAATCAGCTGATTCTGTGGAGAAGGCCCTTGAGGTATTGTTGTTTATTTTACTTTTTTTTTGGCTGAAAGTTATTGGTTTTTTGTTCCCTGGTTGTTTGCTTAAAAGTTGAATATTGCATGGTGGTGTACTCAAAAGAAATATTTCCAAGTTAAATTTCATTAATTCTATAATTTTATCGTTATTTAGTTCCCTTGTTATAATATTTATATTATTAGGATTTTATCACTTTGGAACTTCTATGGTAGTAGCATTTATTTCCAATTTTAGTTAAACTTTTTCTGGGCTAGATAAAGCACTTGTATGTGGCACCTTTTAATGATGAATATAAGTTGAGAATCTCTGTTTTAAGGTGGATATCTTGATTCAGGAAACATCCCTTGCGGTCTCAAGGGTTGCCAAGTGAATTCTATGTGTCCCTATCCTCATTTTACCTTTTTCTTTTTATTTCTACCCTTGTCCTGCATCGCTACAACTTTGCCTGTGTTCGGATAGGCTACAAACCTTCATTCCTTTGACTTTCAGCACTTGTATGCTTTTGTCGTTCCTCTGTTGATGGAAAATTTTTGTCGATACATTCAAATAATGTCATTAAACCTAATTGTTCAAGTGATGTTCATCTGCCAACACTACGTGTTTATGGGCAACTTGTTTGAAGTCTGGTTCATTATTGTATTCTGCAAAGTTCTCTCTCTTCTCTGCCCACATTTATAGGACTCCCCCGAGTGGTTTTTTGAATTTGAAACCCTCCATCTTGGGGTGGTGTTGCAACACGTTTTCTATGATTTATTGTAGGCACTCATTATCAGCTATTCCATGCTCGATTGCCTGTTTCAAGATATAAACTTTAACTCAAGTTACAATATTGTTGTTCTGCACGAGTCTGAGATTGTGTGCTTTTTCAGGTCTCTACTGTCATGATTGGCACTCGAACAGCGCATATTGAGAGAAAGAATGGTAAGTTGAATTATTAATCCATTATTTGTCGTGTTTGGTCCAAACAGTCGGGGAGTGCATAACTATTGATTATGTTTTAGCAGCAAAAAATGGTGGTGAAAAGTATCCTTCAAGAAAGGGTGGTTTTAGGAATGGCAATTTTAGGAGCCGTGGAAACTTGAATGGAGGCCATGGCTATGGCAGAAATGATTTTGAGAATCAGGGTAGAGTCTCTGGTCAATCTTGGGGCACCACTGGACGCCATGGAGAAGCTAACAAGAAAGTTTATCTGGACGGGGAAGCTAGAGGTCCCCGTCAAGCTCGGGCTGGGAATAACTAGACAATCTCTTTCGCTAGAATTTTGTTTATTGCAATTTTTTTTCCCGATTCACAGCCAGGTAGGAAAGATGAGAGCAAATAGATCAAGGCATTTTAGTTTTATGCTCTTAAGATTTTGGTAAAGGTTAATTGAGTAATTGCGAGGTATCATGAAAACATATAATGCGGGGTTTTTATGCTTTGGGATATTATTTCTTAAGAAATTATTTCAAAGAATTTTTCTGGTGTTGATGATATGGTTTTACACTATGCCTTTTAGCTTTTGTGCCTCCGAGGAAAATATGTCACTATGTTATCTGAAAGGAAGCATGCCACTACTTCGAGCTTCGAGCTCAGTGAAGTAGAAATAGAAGTGTGGAGGCTCATGCCATCTCTGTTAGTGCCATCGAGTTTCCGTCGTCTTCCTGTATTATTTTACCTTCTGTAGTACTCGGAGAAACTGCAGCCTGCTAGTTTCTCTTTGTTCGTACAAGTACTGGTGTCTATCCCGAGGCGCTTTCAATCCACTGGTCAGAGGCAGCTGTCTTCCAATAGCTGCCATACTTGACACTTTGTTTGTTTACGGGTTTTGAGGGGCAGGGAAGGAAAAGTAAGGGTTTAAACCCTCGATCCTCGGTTGGTTTTCAGTACTGTGAAAGGCAAGGTCAAGATTATCAAATGACAGTCTCCCCGAGTTAAAATGAAGAATTTTTCTCTGGAATACTGCCGTTTCCATTACTTTTCCTTTTCTTTTTTAATTTATCATCAGTTCCTTGCTCTTTTGTCCAGTCAAACACGTCGTTGATCTCTCTAGAATAATCTCGATATGTTTATACCCAGAATGTCGCTCCCAGTATTAAATGACGATTCCTATAAATGGTGAGAATTAACCACGTCATCTGGTCCCTGTCCCCACATCGACCCTCTGGTTGATAGCATTTCTGGAAATTCGTCAAACAGCCTCTAACATGCCCTTCTGATCTAGTATTATTCTTCCAAATAAACCTAATTTATTATCTCTCATTTTTTTCAAAGATTATCGTATATAATATTTGTTAAAAAGAAAGACATTATTGTATATAATCAATCGCTGCCAAGGGTCTTGACGGTATGTTTCATCGGCAAACTAATCTGATATGGAAGAAAAGGGAGCGAGGAAAAAGAACAACTGTAAGGATTTGAAGACACAAGTGGACAAGGGTGGAGCCAATGAACAGGGGATTCCCGAAAAAACAATAATAATGTTCTACTTAAATGGCCTGGTCAAAAGATTCCATTGTTAAATCAGTAATCATGGAATTTTTTGACTCTTCTGAGGGTATTGTTCAATCAAATTCAAGAGTCGGGTATCTGGCGATTTATTTGGCTGAATGGAACGAATTAATTTTAGTTACTGGGGGGGTATTTACTATTTCCTCATAAATGGATGGCCCGACTCCTCACATGCACAAACAGATGTGAGGATTACCTTCGTCTGAGGAAGCGCATGCGAACACATGTCCCTCCACTCAAATTTATTAATATTGGTGATTTGGTATATATATATATATATATATATATCGTGTTTATATACATATATATACGCTGGGGCCTTTTTTCTTTATATATATATATTTCGTGTTTATATACATATATATACACACGTAATTTATTTAGTCATTTTCTGCTGTCTTTACTATTTAAAACAATTATAGTTACATTCCATGGTTTATAAGCTATTAAAGATTAAAAAAAAAAAATAGATAGATAGCCCAATTTATTGAAGAATCTATAAATGGAATATGAAAATCTTGTTCTGTGGACACCTTAAGGGAAATTTCTTTTTAACTTTGAGAGATTTTTGAGAGTATAATAAAGGTTGATTTTTTAAATATTTTTTAAAAAATATATTAAAATAATAATTTTTAAAATTTTTATTTTCAATATCATTATATTAAAAAAATTAAACAGTAAGAAAATTAATTTAAAAAATTAAAATTTTAATAAAAATATAAATTTAATTTCAATTCTAAACAAAACATTAACTATGAAAAAATATTATAGTTACTCTCGATAAAGGAGATTATTTTTATTGTAGTGAAAATAATTTTGAAAATAATTTTTTTCTTAGTAAATATATTAAAGTAATTTTTTTATATTTTTTATTTTTTAAATCAGTGTAATAAAATTATTAAAAATATTAATAATTTAATATTTTTTAAAAATATTTTTTAAAAAAAAAAAAAAAAAACAACAACAAAAGATTAACAAGCAACCCTCCGAAGGCCCGCAAGGATTCTGCCCTCGTTCAAAACATCTGCTAGTCCTTTTCACCTTAACCATGATCAACACGTGACGTGCAGATGTGTCGGAGAATCTTAAAAACTACACGTCAGCATCAATGACGTGTCCTGGCAAATCATCCTACGAAGATCTCCTGGCCCCACTTCTTTTGTTGCCGGTCTTTTTTTCGCCTTATCATTAAAACCACGTATGTCCTAACAGTAAAAAACACATCGACGACAGGTCTACACCACTTTGATGTTTTCCTATTTTGGTCAAACAGCTATTATTCGTGTATAGAATTTCTTTTTCCCTTCCTTTTTTATTTATTTATTTATTTATTTATGAAATAGATGTTAAAATTAAAACCATTCGAAAAAAAGATAAATATTAGCATCGGTAAAACTAATTACGTATTTTGATTGAAGAACTGGTAAAACTACTACTTGGATTATTAATTTTTAAACCTAATTATATTATTATCTATGTAAGCACTCACCTTTAAGAACTGGTAATTTCTTATCTATGCAGAATTGTTTTTGTTTGAAGAAGATACATTGAGAATATCATTTAGACTTTTGTTGACTTGTATTGACTTTAACAAATCACTTGTATTTTTTTTTCCGAGAAGGAAATTACTTGGATTTTAATAAAAAGATCTAATTGATATTATATCACTGGCTAAAGATTTGTTAATTTCACTCAAAAATATAGAAAAATATAACGAGGTTTTATTCTATTGCTCCATAAGAGCATGGAGTGGGGATAATATCACTTTACATCATGCTGATTTATAGCTAAAAGACATTTTAAAACCTAATTATATCTGCATAATACTATATTGATTAACTTCATGTAATTTTACTTGTTATAAAATAAGGCAAGATTAGATGAAGTTATATTAGTCATTTAATGTATTCATCGATTGTGATGGCTCGTCATATTTTTATACATGTTAATTTAATTTTATTTGCTCGTCATATTTTTATACATGTTAATTTTATTTTATTTAAAATTAACATTTTAAAAAGATCAAAAATAAAATTAATATTTAATATTTATGAGACTAAGTGTTTGTGAAACTAGCAAGTTTTTGAACTTAATATTTCTAAACTTAGTTATGTATTGAGCACATATATATATAAACCTTGTAGGCTATCACACCTAATATCTCTAAATTCAACTATGCGCTAAACTCATATATATATGAATATAACACACTACCAGATCCAATATTTTTAAGTTTAGTATCTCACCAAACCCATATGAACATAGAAATGATGATTATTTTAGGCTTCATATTGTGCCACATGACCCCGGTTGCTTTTTATCATGACCCTTAACATAAATTATCAAGGTTAAAGATGTTCATATCTCTACACCGTTATATGTATAAAAATCTTTAAAATGATTTATTACTCATCCCTTGTTAGTTATTCGGGAAAAATATTTATCTTTCTTTGATAATATCATGACAAAATAATACTTTAGTCCCTATTCTCCATAAAATAACAAGACTCGTGGACTATAAAAATATGATGAATCTTTCGAAGAAAGTGGGTTCACAATCTCTTTATTCTAAATATTTGTAGTAATTATATTTTTATAATTTATTTTTCTAAAATATCATTATCTTTTCTCTTGAAGCATTGGAAATAAAGTCTCTAAATCTACAAAAAAAAAAATACAAAAAAAATTACAAGCACTAATTACTGGTCACTTTAATCTACCAAACATTAAATATCAATTGTCAGCCATCTTAGGCAAGAAAAGATACCATAAAAATAGTTGGGATTGAAAAATTAACTAAATATCTAACATATAAGCCCTTGATTACTTAAATTATTTGATATATCATCATATTGAAAATAACCACATAATCTAATTTAACATGTATTTTATTTTATTTATAGCAAAATTCATAAAAATATGAAAGGTAATAAATATATTTAAATTTCACTTTATCAGTGCCTTAGATACACTAACTAGCCTTTTCACTAGCTTATTTGAAATTCTAGGACAAATAACTTCTTTGTTCGCATGTTTGGAAATGTAGTTGTAGTTTTTTTTAAAGTGTTTTTTTATTTAAAAATATATCAAAATAATATTTTTTTATTTTTTAAAAGTTATTTTTGATACCAGTATATTAAAATGATTTAAAAATACCATAAAAATTTTAATTTAAATAAAAAATAAAAAATATTTTTAAAATATAAAAATAAATAAATAATTAAATTGACTAATTAACTTGTGCGCATCTTGCCTTGAGCGGTAAGATTTGCACGCACTTCTTTGATATAACATGATAAATATGATTTTATAACTGCACTGAGAAAATGAATTTCTCCTGAATGCATAAAAGTTGACCAGCACAATATAACCTAAACATGAAATAAAAAGATAACAATAAAATCATCCTCTAGTGATTTATGCTCAAATGAAACCAATCATGGACTCGAGGAGAGAAGTACATTAATTAGAACACCTTGTAGACTGTCCCAACCAAATTAAGCGATTTAATTGACAAATATTTTAAATGCAATAATTACGCCCATGACACTTTTACACTTTCTAATTAGTTTGATAGAAAAAAAAAAGAATCTTATTGGAAAATAATTTCAAATTCTATCATGGATGCACGAACAAACAATTTGCTATCCAATTTTTATTCAAACTCTATCACTAGCCTCCTTGTTTTTTTTTTTTATAAATTTTTAGACCGTATTTTATACATCAAAAATAAATTTATCTACTCAACATAAATAAGTACCCGTTTAGAGATGTGGTGCAATTTGCATTTAAAAAATAAAAAAGCAGAAAAAACATATTTTTATTATTTTAAATTTTTTAAAAATAAGAACTTTAACGTTTAAATATAAATTGTTGGCGTAAAAACTAGACCAGTGCAGAATTTTAACCCTGCTGACGAAGAAAAGGGAACACTGAATTTAACATCTAAGCCAACCTCATCAGATTATTTAGGCACAGTGT